AATCGGTTTAAACTGCAAGGTTGGTGGTTCAAACTCACCAACCACTCCTCAGAAACCCTATACAGGGACACTATGAGTTGGAACCAACTTGATGGCACTTAATAACAACAATAACATTTTATGTGCATCCTTCCAGATTCATCAACTCCTCTAAAAAATAAAAAAAAACTAGGCTACTGTTAGAACAAAGCTCAAATTCCTAAAAAGAAAAAAAGGCTGAACTTCCTGGGCAGATAGAGACTAGAGGATCCTCGAGACGATTGTCCTGAAATATGCTTTAAGTTTGGAACTGAATTCACTCCCAGAGTATCACCTTTCAGCCAAATAGACTGGCTCATAAAATAAAGAATACCACCCATGAGTATGGTGTTCCTTTTAAATAACCATATATATGAGACCAAACAGTCAATATTTAATTCTAAAACAAAGAGGAAAAGGTAAGCAGAGGAGGACAGGGAAGCTAGATTAATAGAAATAGAACAACCAGAGAGGAAAATATAAGAATGCTGACACATTGTGGAAAATGTAGCTAATGACACTGAACAATATAAGAGTCAAGAAAAAAGTATTGCTACCAGGATAGGGTTCCAGTTCATACATGCGTGAATTTACTCCGAACATGTTTAAATATGTTTAACATGATCTACAATCAGAGGATAGCTACAGACAAGCTCTCTCAGTGATATACTTGTCTTAGTCTCCTTGTTGTTATTTTTGTTAAGTGCTGTCGAGTTAGTTCCGACTCATAGTGACCCTGTATAGGGTTTCTGAGGAGCAGTTGGTGAACTTGAACCACTGACCTTGCAGTTAAAATTGACCTTGCAGTCCAGTGTATTAACCAACAATGACACACCAGGTGTCTTCCAAAAAAACAGTCCAGTCAAAACAGTGGCTTCTTAGGAAATCTGCTAAGCCACTTAAATTCAAGGCAGAGAGGACAGAACACGTTATTGCAATTGTTTTTTGGGATTCTCAAAAAACTTTCAGACTTTCTCGAAGGACAGAGGACAATAATGGGGGTCAGTAAGGTGGCACTGAGGAATTTTTTCCATCGCAACAATGCACCCACCCATTCTTCCGGAGCAGCAATTGTTGTCCGATGAGAATTTTATTGGGAAATCTAACTCCATCCACCTTACAGTCCTGATCTTGCCCTTTCAGACTTATTTTTCTTCCCCAAACTCAAAGATCATGTAAAAAGAACACTATTTGAGTCCCTCAAGTATGACAAAACTGCCGTTTTGACATGATGTAAATTGAAGAAAACAGAATTCTTTGTAAACATCACCTTCAAAGATTTATAGACCAAGGCCGTGCCCTGTGCGTGAGCAGCTGCAGAGGTGGTGGCAGCGACAGTCCCAGCCTGTTGCTTTACTTTTTGCTGTATGAACACAGTCATTATACCAAAGAGAAAGTCCAGAGAATTCAGAGGGCAAAGATGGCTTCAAAGAAACTGAGCTTGAGTCCACGAGACAGTCTGCCTGATTGTAAGTGAAAACTGCTCCACCAAAACCTGAACCCAAACCAAGAAAAACATCTGCTAAGAAAGAACCTGGAGCAAAGATTAGCAAAGGTGCAAAAGGGAAGAAGGAGGAAAAGCAGGAAGCTGGAAAGGAAGGCACAGAAAACTGAATCTATAGATAACAATGGAGAGTGAATTGTGAAAAATTGGGTTGGTTTTATGTACCTCTTAGGACAACTTTTAAAAGCTATTTTTATGAAGTATTTTGTAAATGCTAATTTTTTAGGATTCTACTAGTTGACATGTAAAAATATATAAGGATGGACATTTTGCCTTCTTAAAGGAATGCTTTTTGGAAATTTCCATCCTCAAGAGAAATAATAAATATCAATTTAATATTGGAAGCTGTATGTAAATTGAGTCAGCATTCCATGTACTTGCTTTAGAACTCTAGTCTTGTTTGTACTGTGGTGTTTTTGCTGTGTATATTTGAATTTTTCATGCAAATTTTCTAGGTTTTATATGATTTTGATGAAACATGGATAGTTGTGGCCACCTGCTGACTAACTGTGGTTTAAAATGAAAACTTCATTACCTGCAAAAAAATTAAAAATGTATAGACCAAGATAGAGAATATGCCAAGAAACAACAGCTCCACACTTTGATTTTTTGTTTAATAAAGGTTTCAGTGATTTTGTATCAATACTTTCTAACTTACCATCATATGTATGTTGTTGTTGTTGTTAAGTGCTGTCGAGTCAGTTCCGACCCATAGCAACCCTGTACAGGGTTTCCGAGGGTATAGAAGTTGTTAAATGAGAACCTAACTTGTTGTGCAGTTCTTCCTTGTTCCTGTACCCTCCTGGTCGACAGGGTGTATCCAGTCCTCACCCTCATCAAGCCAGCAGCCAGTAGCACCCCTTCCTGCACAGCCTCTGCCAGGGTTCAGGGGGCTGGCATAGTGCACCAACTTCTGGATGCACCTGAACCACCCGGCACTATGTTACACAAACAGTGAACAGAGAACTAACTGCGCTCACACTTCCTTCCAGTCTCTATTCCAGCCTGAGAATACACCAATATACAATCATCAACTAAATATAAGTTGTTGTTAAGTACCGTCAAGTAAATTCTAACTCATAGTGACCCTGTAGAGGGTTTCCAAGGAGCAGCTGGTGAGTTTGAACCAAAGACCTTACAGTTCAATCAGCCTTTCAGTCCAGTGCTTATCCTACAACACCACACAATATCACAATGTCTCAGAGACAACAATTTCAGCTTACACAAAGAAAAAAGCCAAAGTGCCTCAAACAAGTGACCAAAAAGAATCCTGAAAGCAGCTCAGGAAAAATGAAGTTACCTGCAAAGGAGAGCTAATAAGACTAAGTTCTGATTTTCATGCAGGCAAGAATGACGTATATAAAACTCTGAAAGAGAAATATTGCCAGCCAAGAATCCTATATCCAGCAAAACTATCCGTCAAACATGATGGTGAAATTAAGTCATCTTCAAACAAACAAATTAAAATAATTTGTAAAAACAAGATCAGCCTTACATAAAACACTAAAGGGAGTTCTTTGGACAGAGGAGCAACAACAGCAGACAACACCTACACTCAATCTATATATGTTGTTGTTGTTGTTGTTAAGTGCTGTTGAGTCAGTACCACGTCATAGCAACCCTGCATAGGATTTCCAAGGCTGTAAATCTTTGCAGGAGCAGACAAGCCTCATCTTTCTCCCATGGAGGGGCTGGTGGGCTCCAACCAGTGACCTTGTGATTCACAGTCCAGTGTTATTCTACCATCTGAAAAATAAAATAAACCTAATAAGATTGAAAGGAGAGAACCAGAGACACAGTTGCAACAACAACAAAAAACCCATGAAGTAAAAAGTGGAAATAATCCAGTTACAGAACTTCCAAATGAATAAGAAATCAAATAGATTCAAGACAAATTTATAAATAAAAATAAACCTAACTGCAACCCTAAAAACTAGACTAAGCCTTACTCCTAGACCTAACCTACCACTTTTAACACTAACTCTAGTGCTAATCTTAATGATAAATGAAGTCCTAGATCTAGCCAAGACCTAGCCATAATCCCAACCCTAACCCTCAGTTATTCCTATCCATCCATTCCCCCCAAAAGAAGGCAGGTTGTTGACATTGTGTTTGTGTGTCACACCTAAACAGTTCTAAGCTGTACATAATGGACCACAGCTTACTCTTAAAGGTCTGTACACGTCATTTCTATTGCATCCAGTCATCCATTCATTGTTGTTAAATGCTGTCGAGATGGTTCTGACTCATAGCATTCCTGTATAGTGTCCGAGGAGCAGCTGGTGTATTTGAACCACCAACCTTGTTGTTAGCAGTCCAGTGTTTATCCAACAGCACCAGAGCAGATATTTATTACTTGATGTGCACTTTTCTAGGCACAGAAACAAACAAGATGGGCAGCCTTGATCCCCCTGGAGCTTACATTCTGGCAGAGCATTCACACAGAACACACCTAAACGAGTAATATCATTTCAGGAGGTACTAAATAATACGATGAAAATAAAGTGGGGAGTTGGTTAGGGAAGGATACTATTTTTACTACTGCATAGAGATCACAGGATGGATTTATCACCATTTGAGAAGTGGGCTTTCAAACTTTTCTACCAGCTTCCTGGAGTAAGAAATACATCCTCTACTGTGATCCAGAACTTATATGGAGAAACATGCTGAAACACAAAACCAAAACATATATACACAACTTTTCATGAACAAAAAGTTTCACAAAATAATGATGATATACTAAAAATTTCCATTTGGTTGTATTTCATTTTTAAAAAGGAGGGGTGGGGTGGGGAGGATTATGACCTGTTATGTAACCCATCCTCTTTTGAGATTTATATAGATTGTTCATAATTCTCCCCTATGACAAACAATGCTGCTGTAGTGAGCTGCTTTATACTCATTTCATGACTATTTCTGACAACACGATCCCTGATTGTGTAACTGCCATTTACTTCAGATTCTGATTAACTACAGCCTGCATACTGGAAAACAGAATTCTAATCCAGGATCTGCAACCATCAGGATGTGTGAACCTCAGTTTCCCCATCACTAACCTGATGATCTCTACACCATGGAGTCTGTTCTAAGTTGAAAGCAAATGCCCCATCCCCTGACTCAAGATGGCTAAGCTTCTGCCCAAGACTTTCTACCCCTTGTCTGCTCCCAGATCCTTAGGGGCAGCCCTGGGAGGAGGTAAAAGGCAGGTCTGGGCAGGAGGACGCAGTGCAGGGCGGGGCAAGGGGAGGGCAGAGGAGGCTGGCTCCCTAGTAGGAAATGAGGCAGAATAGGAATAACATTTTACAAGCCTGACGCCCTCTTCTTCCTCCTCTGCCCTGGCCACCTTCCAGAATCTTCCACTCAACCTCCACCCCTTCCAGACAGCCTTCATTCCTCTTTCCCCTAGGTTGCAGCTAGCTGCAGTCCCCAGCCTGCGTGAGTCGGAAGCCCAAGTTGGACCAAGAATCTCAGCCCCAGGATGTTGACAATGTTACTACGCCTGCTCTCTCTGCTGCTTTTTCCCGGCTGGGCCCTTTGTAGCCAGGAAGCCTCAGATGGTGAGTTGGGGGCATGTCTCTTGCCTTCTGTTGGCTTGAGGAATCTTAGTCTATCTGGGTCCATGAGCGGGAATGGGAGCATTTATTCCAGAGGCTGTGCCTGCAGCTGGCTAGGTCTCTGTATGGGACAGCCAGGTTCCTGGAGGCTGGTTTGTGTTCCAAAGCTAAGGTAGGGAGATACCATTCAGTCCTTGAGGCTCAAGGGAAACATGACAAGTAGGAAAATGGGGAAGGGTCTGGTAGACAAGGTGAGGAAATCATCCTGGAGGAGAGGAGAGAGATGGATGAAGTGTGGAGAGGGAAAGATGAGGGTGATGGTGGATAGGGGTGAGTTTAAGGAAGATGGGAAGACTCACAAATGAGAAGAGGGATGGCGGGAATTAGGAGATCGTAGGGGAACTGATGGGCAATTTGGGAGAAAGACTGATATAGGTGAGGTCGAAGGGTATACTAGGAAAGATGAAGAAAGAATGCAGGGAGGATAAAACTGGGAAGAACTAAGTTAGGGAAGAACTAATGGAAGATCAGGCTGCCCGAAGTATCCTCACTTAAGTGGTGAAGGGAATTTTCTGTCTCAAATTGTAACCATACAGGGGCCTCCTTTCTCCTTTCTCACAATCCCTATAGCTTCAGCCTTCCCCTCAGAAAGGGAACAAATGATAAGCACTATTGAATGCATGCTTACTATGGTGAATGCACAGATTGATTCATTTAATCCCCACAAAGGTAGGAATACTATTACCTACCTTTTACAGAGGAGGAGACTGGGTTGCAGAGTAATTAAGAATCTTGTCTAGGGCTACCCACACAGACACACTTACCATCATCACCTGTAGGCTCGGAGCACAACTTCGCAAACGCAAACATGGACAAGATATATACACAGACTTGCAACCCAGACTCATTCTCTCCACACACATTCTGTGGGAACTAACGACCTGTCAGGCTATTTGCTAGTACAGGAGGCAGAAATAGCCAGGCATGGCTCCATAACTGGGAGGAACCCAGTGTAGCCTGTGTGTGTATGGGGTGGATGAAGGGGACAGTCACTTAGAATCCAGTGAGATACATACTCACACAACATGGTTTGACAATACTGAAACAGACCCACTGTGTCTGGGAGGGCAAAAGAAGGGGCATTAGGAAAATTTCTTCCAGGGGGAGAAAATTGAATTTGGTCTTGAAGTATGATTAAGAACATCTAATGGGCAGAAAAAGGCAGGCAGAGCAACCCTAACATTCTATTCACATGTCAGACAAAAGGTTGCATGACAAACCATGGGGACGAGATCAGAAGAGGCAGTTGGGGCCAAGTCACTGGTAGCCTTGAATGCTAGGCTGAAGACTTTGGATTTGATCCTGTAGATAAATATTCTATAGCATAGCTGTGGACCAGGAGCCCTGGTGGCATGGTGAGTTAAGCATTGGGCTGCTAACCAGAAGTTAATGGTTCGAACCACCAGCTGCTCCAAGGAAAGAAGATGAGACAGTCTGCTTCCTAAAGATTTGTTGCTGTTGTTGTTAAGTGTTGTAGAGTCAGTTTCAATTCATAAGTAAGGGTTTCTGAGGCTTTAAATCTTCTCAGGAACAGAAAGCCTTATCTTTCTCCCATGGAGTGACTGGTGGGTTTGAACTGCAGACCTTGTGGTTCACAGTCCAGTGCTTACCATATGGAACCACCACACTCCTACAGATTTACAGCCTTGGAACCCAGATAGACCATAGTTTTGTAGACATCTTGGTCAGCTGGCACAACATTGTCTATATAGTTTATGTTCTACATCCTAGTTTGGTAAGTAGCGTCTGGGGTCTCAGTTTCCAGTGTAGACTGGAGTTAATAACAGTAGCCACTGTATTAAACTATTGGGAGGAAAGCACAGTAATAATGTGTGTGTAGAGGATTGAACACAGTATCTGGGTCATAATAAGCATTTAATAGCTATTAGCTATTACTTTTGACAGGCAAAGGGGCACTAGAGGACTTTAAGCAGGAGAACGAGTTGAGTCACATGAATGTCCAATTAGAAGGGTTGAAACTGAAGGCAGTGGGATGAGGGAAAAGGTGAATACCCCAGTTCTGCAAAAGTAGATGGGTCCTGTGATAAGGCAGGGGCAACAGAATTAGAAAACAAAGAGCTGGAATTGGAATATTATTGTAGGTCAGGGTTTATTGACCAGCCAAAAATGAATGACTCCTTTATCCAGGCTGTATCATCCTAGGGCAAGTGACTTCTGTTAATCCGGCCTCAGTTTCCTCATCTGTAAACTGAGGATAATAATCTCTGTCCTGCCATTTGGCAGGGTTACTGAAAGAATCAAATCGGAGCAAGGGTGGGAGGGAAATTTGTAGTTTGTGAAGGGCCAGATTGTGGGCGTTGGGCCTAAGGGCAGGGGGTTATTATCTCCAGCTGGCTTCCCCGCTGCTCACTCCCACACTAGCTGCCAGCCAGGGCCCTAATACTCTGACTCTTACCCTCAGGCCTACCAAGCCTCCACATACTACAATTCGCCTACTTCCGTGACCCCTCTCACGTGTGGTACCGGGGCAACGCATCGCTCGGTGGGCATCTGACACACATGCTGGAAGGTCCAAGCACCAATGTCACGATCCTCCAGCTGCAGCCCTTGGAGGAGCCAGAGAGCTGGGTGCGCACAGAGCGAGGCCTGCAGCGCTACCTGCAAGATTTCTATGGCCTAGTGCTGCTGGTGCACAGGGAGCGCAGCTTGGCATGTGAGTGCCGACGCACTGGGGTGGGAACTGGAGCTGGCCCTGGGTGGGAGCCATGGACTGTGGGCCAGAGATGCTGGGAAACCTTGTGATGTCTTGTGGAGGAATTTGTCACTGTGGGCATGATCTGTGGGGCAGGGCTGCTCTAGGGAGCCCAGAAGTGTCTGGAGTAGATGTCTTAGCACTGAGCCCCAGCTGACAAAGTCCTTCCTCAGGCATAATCTCTGTGGGTAGTCCCTTGGCAGGAGGCCATCAACAGTAATCCTTACCCAATCTGATTTCCAAAAGTTCACTGAAGACTCCACAGCTCTCACCTCACAGTCCTTCAACTCCTTTCCCTCAAAGAACTGTTTCCCCTTCACATACACACACACACACTCCTCCAGCACCTCAACCCTCCAACTATTTCTCCTTGCAGAAACTGAGTTTTGCTGTAGCTCCCTGACCTTTTCTCATAATCCCCAACTCGTTTGCCTCAACGACTCCAAATTTCTTCTCCCTCTTTTCATACCTTTCAACTCCTTTATGTCACAGTCCCCATTTTTCTTCATAGTCCCTAACCCTTTTATTGGAGTCCTGGTGTGAGTTAATGCGCTGGACCACAAGGTCAGTTTGAACTGCAAAGTGGGCCATTCAAGCTTACTGGCTGCTCCTTGGAAACCCTTTACAGTGTTGCTCTGAGTGGGAAAAGACTTGATGGCACTTAACAACAACAACAACCCCTTCTTACAGCCTTCCTTTCTTGTCTTCTCAGAGTCCTCCAAACACTTCTCCTCACAATTCCCTAACCTAGACCCTCCACTCCTCACAGCCACTGGCTCTCACTCCACAAACCCCTCCTCCCTCTGTGATCAGACCCTGTACCTGGCACCCTCTCTGTTCTGTCCCTGACCCAGAATTCTCCCCACTCCCTATCCACAGTTCCTCTGGTAATCCGCTGCTTCCTGGGCTGTGAGCTGCCTCCTGAGGACTCAAAACCCCACGTCTTCTTTGAGGTGGCTGTGAATGGGAGCTCCTTTGCAAATTTCCAGCCAGAGACAGCCTCATGGATGGCAAAATCTGAGACACTCTCCAAAGTGGACACCTTCGCTCTGAAGGAGCTCAATACCCACAATCGTACTCGATATGAACTTCAGGAGTTCCTGCAAGAGACCTGTGTGCAGTATGTGCAGGAACATAGTGTGAAGAACATAAAAGGTATGATGGGGCAGGGCCATGGCTGAGTTTGGGGGAGGTGGCAGATTCTAGGCAAAAGGATGGAGACCTTGAGCAACAGAAGGCCCAGGGCTGAGTACTTGGGACAGAGCACAGCTTAAGACACTTGGTGAAAAGAAATGGGCAGAAATCCCTTGGGGTTTGACTCAAAGCTTGGACTCCTTGAGGGCATGTTCTTCAGGCTAATTCTCTGCATATTCTGCAGGGAGCCTAACTGGCCGCTCGTACACTCCGCTGGTCCTGGGCGTCTTGGTGGGCAGCTTCATCATCACCAGTGTTGCTGTGGGCATCTTCCTGTGCACAGGTGGACGGCGATGTTAATTACTCTCCAGCCCCCTCAGAGAAAGAGCTGGACTGATGGGGGCTGGCAAAGGACAGTCTCAGCTCACTGCAAAGCCAGCTACCCCATTTGGGTCACATTATCCAAGCAGGTTTGGAATAGAAGTTCCTTGTTTTCTCTCAGCGCTACTCACCAAAGGATTTGATGTTGGGGAGAGGCTACATGGGCAGAATATTTAATTTGCTAAGAACCCAAGAACTTGCATTTTTTGTTGAATTGGAATGAGAAGTGAATGTTTATCTATCTTTGTGGAAAACAAATGATGGAGTTGGGGCAAGAGAGTCTATGGCCCATCCTCCAAAAGTAGTCAGAATCATCTGAAGCATTCAAAACACAGCCACAAACCCCCAAATCAGCCATAACCAAAATAAATGAAATCTGATTCTTCCAGATGTGTCACACTTGTAAAAGAACACTAATGTAGCAGGGGTAATCAGAGAAATGGAAGCAGTGTAAAATCCAAGTAATATGGGAGAATGGAGCTACTAACCAATTAACTTATAATGTTAATAAATTCCTTACACATGCATAAAGCATTATTATTTTCACCACTCTGCAAAATTTATGGAGAAATAGTCTATACTTTTTTCTTTTACTTTCTCATACATATCCCACTCAACTCTTCGACCCATTGTGGTCTAACTTCCCTAGACACTGCTGCAAGGTAACCTTTAGTTATCATTCTTGTTTGCTGTGATCTGCAACTGCTAATTTTATGGACTAGAACTTTCTTTTTACTTTAGCTTTTGAAATACAATTCTTCTAATTTGTTTAATTGATCTTTACCATTCTTTTTCAATACGTTTCACTATGGCATTTTACTTAGTCCAGGCTGGAAATGTTGACTTCCTTAGGATTCTTTTTTTTTTTTTTTCTTTCCCTTTTTCCTCCATTAAACTACATCCTACCTGGGTGACCTATTCACTTCTGTCTTAAATTAATTTCATGCTATCCTCTGTATTGTTACATTACTTGTTCAGTATTCAAAGTCCTAGTGGGAGCATCCAAATGAACAAGTTTAGACCATGTTAACTTTGCCTTCAGAATCACACAGAAGAAGAAGTTTCAGTTGCTGGGCAACCAAAATAAACAAATAAACAAATGCTCCTATATCTGACACCATTGATTAATTTACTCACTCAGTAAATGTACACCTCCATGTACACAGCTTTATATTATTTACTTTGGAAGAACCAACAATGATTAAGACATGATCCTTTTCAAGAATTCATTGTTTACTTGGGAAGATAAAAATATACAAATATGAATGATACAAGGCATGATATTATAAGAACTGGAAGTTAAATATGCTGTTTTTATTTACTGTTACAGTTCTGCTTTATAGTTTTTGGATACTGCTTTATGGTTTTTGGAATTATTTAACTTGCATGATACCATTTAATAGTCATTGAGTCCTTTTAAAATAACGTAAAGTAAGGTATTCTCCTTACTTTATATTATTAGGAAACTGCTTAGAAAGAATAAGTGAAGAAAGTAAGAGCCACAGTCAGTATTCAAGCCCAGGTCGTCCTGTTCTCGGATTTATGCTTCTTTCTTTTACTAAAATGGAAGGAATCAGAGAAATCTGAAAAAGAAGGTAGGATTTACGGATGGGTAACATATGACCTAAGGAGCTCTGGTACGGTGTGATTACGAATAGGGCTGCTAACCTCAAGGTCAATAGTTCAAAACTATCAGCCGTTCCATGGGAGAAAGATAAGGCTTTCTGCTCCCGTAGAGATTTACAGCCTCAGAAACTCAGGTCACTATGATTTGGAACTGACTCCACAGTACTTAACAACAACAACATATGACCTACACAGATATGAAAGACAGAACAGGTGAAATAAAGATCCAGAGTTCAAATAAAGTAGATCAGATTTTAAGAAGCATAACTAGTTCAATGTGGTTGGAGAATGGTAGAAAATGAGATTAGAAAGGCTTCATTGTATTGGGCCTCTAAGGCATGGTGCAGGAGTTTGATCTTTAGCTGGTAAAGAGGTTGGTGGGCAGAAAGCTACTGCAGGCTTCTTTCCCATTTCAGATGTATTGTTACAAAGAAAATTCAGGTAGGTTGAGGCCCACTGAGCTCATTCCTAAGGTCCTAGCTTGGATATCCCCTAGATCAAGGTCAGACTAGGAGCTTGGATATCCCCTAGATCAAGGTCAGACTAGGTTTTATTCTTCAATTGGGGAGCCAAAGGGAAAGGATGAAATGGGAAGTCAGTCTGGAGAAGAATGGGATCTTGGAGAATGAGTCAGATATACTCAAGCTCTGAGATGTTACATTACTTCCTTTCCCCAATGAAAACTCTGCAGTAGTTCAGGTCTTCACCACCTATAACCTAGACTACTACAATCACATCTCAACATACCTTATTTTAGCTAGAATTCTCCTTAGAAGCAAGGATGGCAAGACTTTGTCTCACATACTTTGGGCATTTATTTGGAGAAGCCAGTCCCTGGAGAAGGACATCATATTTGGTTAAGTGGAGGGTCAGAGAAAAAGAGGAAGACCCTCAACAAGATGGATTAAAACAGAGGCTTCAACAGTAGTCTCAAGCATAGCAATGATTGTGAGGACAAGGCAGTGTTTCACTCTGTTGTACGTAGGGTCACTGTGAATTGGAACCGCTCTGACTCAATGGCACCTACCAGCACAACAGTCTCTTCACATATTGTCATCAGATGCTCATTATAACGCATACCAGTCTTCTGCACAGAATTCTTTAAGTCTTCCATTCTCCATAGGATAAAATCCAAACTCTTCAGTATGGAGTTCAAGACACTTCACAGTCCAGCACCAGCTTGTCTTTGGTGCTCTGACCTCCTTCTAGCTCCTTCAAAACACTCTTACTTTCCCAAACATACCTTGTTCTTTCTAGTAATATTCCCTTTCATATCATATTCTTTATATTTGTATTGAAGCCTAGCTCAGATGCCATCTCCTCGGTGAAGTCATCCAGGATACATAATTATTTTTCTCTTCCTCTGTGTTCCCAAAGCATGTAGTAAAGTCCTTATTATAATACCATTACCCTCTAATAATTTGTGGCTTCTCTACTGGAATGAGTTTTCCAAAGGACAGAACTAGTGTCACCTAGCCCAGGACTGATAAGAAGTAGCAACTCAATACTAATGGAATGAATGAGTTGTAGTTTTGATTCTACCAACATCTAACTGTGTGACCTTGTGTAAGTCACTATACCCCAAAGATTCTTCATTCTCATCTAGAAAATGGAAATAAAAATGTGTGCCCTCCTTACTTCATATTATTACTGTTAGGATAACATAGTGTAATGGATATTAAAGCAATTTATAAACTGTAAAACATTATACATATGCAAGGGATGATTATTGTTACTTAACAGCAATAGCTCAAAAAAAGCAGTAACTCTAGAATAGATTCTAATAAGATACATATTTGAGAAAATAAATAATATAGCTAGAAATAATTAAAAGAAATGAAATGGTCACTAGAAACCATCCCTTCATGCAAAATCAGGTAGTAAAGGAGCAACAAAGGAACAAAAGAAATATTAGACATACAGAAAACCAAAAGTGAAATAGTAGGTGTAAATCCAAATACTTAATTAGTAATATTAAATGTCAGTGAATTAAACAATTAAATCAAAAGGTAGAGATTATCAGATTGGATTAAAAAACAACAATAACAAAATATAACTTTATGGTGTCTATTTGTTGTTGTTGTTGTTGTTGTTGTTAAGTGCCATTGAGTTGGTACCCACCCATAGAGACCTGGGATGTACATTTTAGATTCAAATAGACAAATAAGTTGAAAATAAAATGGATGGAAAAGAGCAATCATAAGAAAAATATAGTGACTATAAAACAACAGACAAAATATATTTCAACACAAAAAAAAGTGAAGAGAGATAATAAAAGACATTTTATAACGATAAAAGGGTCAGTCCATCAGGGAGATGTAACAATTATACATTTATATTCACCTAACAATGGAACCCAGCAACCCGGTGTGGCGCTAACCAGTAGGATAAATACTGGACTGCTAACCACAAGGTCGTCAGTTCAAACCCATGAGCTGCTCCTTAAAAACCCTCTGCAGGATTGCTATGAGTTAAAAATGATAGCACTTAACAACAACAAAAACAGTAATGGAACCCAAGAAGTATAAAAAGTAAAAGCTGACAAAACTGATGTGAGAAATACACAGTTTAACAATAATTTCTGGAGACTGTTCCCATTTTCAAGAATGGCAGACTATCAATAACATCATAGAAGACTTAATTCTATAAACCTAACACACATCTTTGGAACACACCATCCAACAACTGCAGAATGCCTATTCATTGCAAGCATATATGGACAATTTTCAAGGATAAACCATGAAACAAGTCTCAATAAATAAATGAAAAATATTGAAGCCATTTGAAGTATGCTTTTTGATCACAATCGAATAAAATTAGAAATAATAGAAGGAACTTTAGGAAATTCATAAATACATGTCCAAAGGACACATTCCTCATACATATAATGGACATGGGGACACAGTCGCAGATGTCTCCCAGATATAACCAAAACAGCCTGCAGATTGATTTACTGAGTTTAAAGGCTTAGGACCATAGGTTTGTGGGACATCTTAGTCATATGACACAACATGGTCTATAAAGTTATGTTCTACATTCTAATTTGTAAGTAGTGCCTGGGAATCTTAAAAATTTGAGAGCAGTTATCTAATATACAACTATTGGTCTCACTTGTCTGGAGCAAAAGAGAAAGGTGGAAACCAAAGACTCAATGAATAAACCAGTCTCCAGGACCTATTGCTTGCACAAACCACAGCCATCCAGAGACTGGAAGAATTAGATGATGCCAGCAACCATTACCAACCATTCTGACCAGAGCCACAATAGATGGTCCCAGATAGAACGGAAGAAAATTGTAGAATAAAACTCAAAATCTTAAAAAATAAGGTCAGTAAATAAATAATAAATAAAGC